GGTCCCTCTGTCATCTGTGATGCCTGAGGCCACAGAGACTTCACAGTCGGAGGCAGTGCTTTTCTCCATGTTTTCTTAGGGGTCAGAAGACAGTGAGCAAGTGTATGAGATGTCTTCTTTCTTTAAACAACAACAATAACAAAAAAAAAAACAAAAATAAAGGCTTCCTATTTCATTTATTGTGCTTTTGGCACAATAACCAAAACCAATCCTGACTCCTGTAGGTCAACTCAGTGAATCTTACTCCTGTACAGTTATTCCACTACATCCACTTCATACTATAATTTATTCTTCCTGAACCTCTTCATTCCCTTCCTTTTCTTCTCCTACCCTTCTTCCTCTTTTTCTTTCTCTTCTTTTCCCGCCCCTTCCCCTTCTCCTCCTCCTCTTTCTCTTGGCCCTTACAAATAGTCTCGGAATGAAGTTCCTGTGTCCTTCAAGCCCATGCTGGCTCAAACAGCAGCTGCGCGTGTGGGGAAAGGCGGCTCTGAGACGCCTTCCTGCAGAAACTCCTCACGAAGTGTGTGCACACCTGCGGGGACTCATGGGAATGTGCCCAGAGCTCAGAGCTTTGTGCTGCTGTCTTGTTCCCAGGCAATACATATATGTGCTGGGAACTTTAATAGCTTCTGCTAAATTGTGTTCCAAAAGTGTTGCAGTGCTACATTGTATACACCTCATTGTCCACATTCTCAAACCCTGCAATTCCAACTTGGAGAAAAATGCTTCAAAATAGCTTTATAGCTTTATTGTTTTATTGTAACATGAAGCAAGCTCATTGCCAAGCCACGCCTCTCAGTCCAGGTTGCCTGAGGTGACCTCTTTGGGCCCTGGGGTCAGCATGTGTCTAGTGTTGGATGTTGGTGATGGCCGTGTGTACGCGTGTGCCAGCACTGTTACCTATTCAGGTTCACACACTAATACTGCTGTATGCCCTGCTCTGCCGGTTGGAACTGGTTGAGAGCCTTTCTGGGCTGGCACATGGAGATGTGCACCATGGTGCTGGGGGACAGGCACCACTCCTCTTCCTTGTTCCCTTGGGACATGGAGTTGTTGCTTACACTCATCTTGTAGGTGTATATGCTGCTTCTTGCCTCTCATTTTCTGGGGTGCGTGTGGTATGCATTGATGGACCCACTTATTTCAGACGTTGCAAAGTTATGTCTGCCTTTAGCTCTTAGCAGTACAGCTGGGCACTTAGGGAATTTATCAGTCTTCTCAAAGGTCCTGCTTTTGGCTTTGCTAATTTTCCATATTTTTTCTTTTTTCTAGCTTACTGATGTTTATGACATTATTATTTTTCTTCTGTTTATTTTGAGTTTCATTTGGTCTTCTTTCTCTCTTTCCTTTTCTTTTTAAAAATTAATTACATTTATTGGTATATTTTAGATAAACATAATGGTCACATTCATCATAGGGAATTTGTACCTATACATGATATATCTTGATTCTTTTTTCCCCTCATTTTCCTACCCTCCCTTCAACCCCTCTTCCCCTTCCCTACTTATAAAAGCTTTGTTTCCATTTTTTCATTATTGTTTTTTCCTTTTCCTTTCCTTCCTTTTCCCCCTCCCCACCCCCTAGTTTCCTTTCCCACTTAAAAAATGTGTCACTCACTTTCAGTAGCTGGGACACAATACCCAACACTTACAATTTAAAGCAGGAGAGGATTAATTGGCTCATGGTTTCAGGGCAGTCAGTCCAAGGTAGGCCAGCTCTAAGGCAGGAACTTCATGGCGGAAGGGCGTTGTGGAACAAAGCTGCCTAGTTCGTGGCCACCAGAACGTAGAGCAAGGGAACAGTGCCAGAGAAGAGGAGGCCAGTGAGTAGACACAGATCTCAAGGTAATGCCTCCATGACCCCTCAGCCATGGCCAGAATCCAGCTTTACTGGTATGTGGGTATTATAAGTAGTCTGAGATGATTTAAAATCTGCTGGAAGATGTGCATTGTTTGTACACAAATGCTGTGCCACTTTATGTGAGGACCTCGAGCAGCCCCAAGGATGGTGTGCTGAGGAAGGTGGACTGTGCTTTACACAGTCACTCATCTACTTTCAAGCACTTCTTCTATGCATCACATGTAGGATAGGAATCCTAGAACAATATCCTTCTGTCACCACCCTCTGTTCTCTATGTCATTGTTGTCACATGTTTTCCTTTTACATATTACAGGTCCTGTATTATTTTATTTGCCTTAAAATTTGATTACATTTTTAAGAGATTTGGATAATAGGAAAGCCTGTTATAGCTTTAGCGACATAGTTACTCTTTCTGGTACACTTATTTCTTTCTGAAGATTAAAGTTTCCATTTGGTATTACTTTTATTCTCCTGAATGACTTCTTTTGCATTCTTCTACCTAAATCTGCTGGTGATGAATCCCTTCAGATCTTGTACATCAGAACAAGTTGCTATTTCCCCACAAGTTTTGAAAACAATATTTCTGGTTTAAAAGTCCTGAAATGAGAGTTTTGTTTTCTTTCAGTCCTCCACAGCTGTTGCCTGCCGTCTTCTGCATGTTTTATTTCTTGGCTTGAGATCAGCTGTCATTTTTATGTTTGTTTGTGCTGATGTCTTTTTTCCTGGCTGCTTTGGAAATCTCTGTCTATGGTTTTTCTTTGGCAGTGATCTTGGTTGATGGAGGTCCTTAGATTTATAATTTTCCTCACATTTGGAACAGCTCCAGCAATTATTTCTTTAAATATTTTGTTGTTCTCTTACCAGCTTGTTCCAGGACTCGACTTACACGTGTATTTGGTTGCTTGAGAAAACTCCACATTTCACTCATGCTCTTCACTTTGTGGATTCTATTTTATGCATTTAAGTTCCCCAGCTTTTCTTTTGCAGTGCCAGACTTACCATTAACATCATCCACTATAGTTTCTACCTCACATGTTATTATTAGAGGGACCAATCTCCCTTAGACCTTCTGGAGTGTGTGGAAGTCAGTGTTTGAGACCAGTCTGCTTCACTGCCTGCTTCACATCTGGGCCCATCTTAGCTGCTGATTTTGTTTATTGTGGGTGGTATTTTCTGGCTTCTGTGTATGCTGGTGACTTTCTTGTTGGCTGCCAGACATTGAGCCCTTTCACTTGCTAGATGCCAGGTCTTTTTGTCTTACTCCAAATATTTCTGGGTTTTGTTCTGAGACTCAGCTCAGTTGCTATCGATCACTTCATCCTTATGTTCTCAATTCATTAATGCATACATGTAATTAATATGTATTTGCAGGGTTCTGTTTTGAAGAGTAACGGTGTGGGGTTGTATTCACTCACACCTGGCAACTTGGTTGTCTTAGATTCTGTCTCTAAAGTCTGGCACTGGGCGGCAGCATGATCCCTGATCTGTGTTCCCCTCAACTCTGTCCCTTCACAAAACACGGAGGAGAGGACTAGAATCGGTAACTTTCTTTTTAGGATGCCAGTTCTTACTTTCTTGATGCAGCGGCGATTCTGGTTGGAGAAATCTTGGTGTTGGTCAACCTCTTGACCCTTTTATAGGTCCACATTAAAACTCTGAATCACTTTGCTGTCTTTTTTCATGGTAAGGACAATCCTACGTGAAGTGAATGCATCTTACAATTGTTTTCTGGCTTTTTGGTAGGTAGGTTTTCGTGGTAGCTTCCCCTTTCTCCTCATTTGCCTCTGTTATTTTCACCTGTGTCACTTCCCCGTGTTCTTCTCCCTCATCTCCCATTTACTTCCCTGCTTTCCTCTCTGGTGAGTCTCCTCCTCAGTGCTCTTCAGCTCCGTTCCTGGCTGCGTGCTGCCCACTCTGCCTCCTCCTCCTCTTCCTCTCCTTCCTCGTCCTGTACTGGATTCTCTGCCTCTTTCAGTCCTTCTTCCTCCTTTGCTAAGGCTGCATTTACTATGGGATGATGTGATTTTAGTAGATTTGTCTTTGAGTTGGTTCATGCAATTTTAAATACATTTGTTTGCTTGAATTTGACAATGAAGAGAACTTGGGTACAGTTTCCTTGACTCTGTCCTTTTTACCTGGGCATCACTTAGAACTTTGTGGGGCCTGAGTTATAAGACTACATTTCTCCTGCCACATTTGGGCACAGATCATGCAGAGCAGGGGAGGTAAGGAGCCACTGCTCTGTTTCACCCAAGAACCAGTGAGGTGCAGAAGCAGCAATTAAATATTTGCTGGTGTGTATGTACGCATGCGCATGTGTACCTTGGAAAGCCTGCATGAGCTGCCTGACACAGAAATGCAAAACTGAGCAAAAGGATAAAGGCACTTTTGTTCTGCTGACCCTGGCTGAGGTTCCTGGGAGTGGCCAGCAGGTAGCTGCAGGGCAAAGGTGTTTGGTAACTTTTTTCTTTCTCTGAGACACCACAACTTCTGTTGGGAAGATATTCTATTCCAGGCACTTGGACTGTGCTGCATGACTGCAGACTGGTGATGGTTATTACAAGTCAAGAGCTTGTGGTTGTGACCAAATTCCTGGCATGGGTGGCTCCTGGGCCCCAGACAGACAGCGTCTGCCCTTTAGGCCTACATGGAGGGAAGTCCCCAGGCCCGGCTGCCACTGATGCAACACATCTGTCAGGCTGTCCTTTCCCAAGTGCCTCTCCTTGGCTGTATAGGAATAGCTCCCATGGGGGACACTGAGTCTGTCTCTGCTGAGAGGCCCAGAGCTGCCAGAGCCTACAAAGACAGGCAGCGGGTGACATGGAGAGGTCACCGGGCCCCCCTTGCCATGCTCGCTCTGCACTGCGGCATTGTAGAAAGGCTGCACACCCAGGCCTGTCAGAGCTGCATGCCGACAGGCTGATGTGTGTCACCGCAGAGGCTCGGGATTCTTCCTGTTGTGGATGTCGCATGGGAAGGAGACCCCAGACTTGCGGCCGCGGCGCCGCCTGTGTCTTTCATCAGCTGCTTTCAGAGCACAGTCTGGCCTTACCCTGGGCTCCTAATTGGTTCTCAGCCCTGAGGAAACTTTCGTTTCACTGTGGACACGCTACTGCCTACTGCCGGGTCTGGCGTGGGATCCTGCATTGATGGAGCTGGAGTAGATCAAGAGAGAAGATTTGCACATAACAAATGGCAGATCTGTGTGGTGATGTTACATGTGCCTTGGTAAGCACTCCTTGAATAAATAAAAAGAGCAATGTCTCCTGGGGTGCAGGAAACAGACAGTGGGGTGCTGTCCAGGACAGGATGCCTGTGCTAAGTGGTGTTTGGCACCCTACTCTGGGTGTGGCCGACCATCTCTCCCGTGAGGAGTCTGGTCCAGGCCTAAGACCCCGAGACCTGCGTGAGGACAGGTGGAGCTCTGAACCCTGGCCCTGGCTGCTCCTCAAGGGTCACTGTCTTCCTTATACCCTCACCTTCTTTCCACCGAGACTGTGGGACTCAGCCCTGCTGCCAGTCACCAGCCCTGTCCTTAGGCCATATCCCCAGCACAGTTCAGCCCAGCACCCAGAAGCTGGGCTGAGCTCAGTGACTCAGGAGTCTCAGAAAGAGACCCCAAGTAGGTTGCAACACTCCGGTTATAAGAATAAAACAAAGATGAGAGCACACCAGGTATCTGCCTTTCTGAGGTCCAATGTAAAAAATGTGTTAAAGGACTTTAAAATTTTCAGCTGAGATTCACACACTCATTGCTAGTGATGGTTGTTCAAGGTCTCTGTGCCATGGTCTGGATTTTCCCGAAGGTCCATGTGCTCATGGCTTGGTCTCTGGCCTATGGCGCTATTGGGAGGTGGCAGGGTCTTTAGGAAAGGGGGCCCAGTTCGAGGTTTTAGGTCACCAGGGACACCAGCAAAGGGGACAGTGGGACCCCACTTGCTCTTTCTGCCTCCCAGCCACCCTGCCCTACTAAGCACTCCTTGCCTGTTGTGCTGACTCCTCTTAAGCCCAGAAACCATGGGGCCAACAGACCATGGGCTAAAACCTCCAACACTGGGAGCCAAATAAACCTTTCCTCTTTTCAGTTGATTATCTCAGGTACTTTGTTACAGTGATGGAAGGCTGACCAATACCAAGATTAAGCTTGTTCTGGGAAGTAAACAAAATAAGGAATTTGAGTCAGTCTCAGGGGTTTAACCTAGACAATGCTGATTTACATGTTAACTGATGAACGAAGTTTTAAGTGTATTTAACAGCCATCTATCTATTCAATCAAACTTTATTGAGAACAGCCTCGTGCAATGCATGTTTTGGGGGAAACCAATATAGGAACAAGAAAAAGTGCCAGTTCCCAGGGAGCTCAGGGTGGAAGCCAGGCCTGAGGAACACGCCAAACACGTGAGTGACAAGAGAAGGGACTTGGGCCACCAGCCCTGAGCGGGACATTAAATTTAGTGCAGGCACATTTGAAGGCAAACAGAGTCAGGAAGATTTTTGCAGTCATGAGGGGGACCCAGTGTGGGAAGGCAATGAATGTTGGGGTGCAGGAGAGGAGAATCCAGGGTGCAGGAGCGAGGCTGACTTAGAGTTGGTAGATGGCAATAGGGGCAGAGAAGATTGGTTCTGCTTTCTCACATCCGTCTTTAGATCCAGTGGAAATGTGGAGCAAGTCTGAGCTGAGGAGTGAGGGCTGGGTTGAACATGCAGTTGGAGAATCATTTTATTCATGCTTTGTTTTTTCCAGTTTATTGGAAGAACTGGGAAATGGTTTTGCCAAGAGGCAGTAATGAAATCTGTGCAACTGGACAAGATCAGCAGAAAGGCTGACTCAGGAGAGAAGGTCCATTTCAGGGTCACCCAGATTTAAAATCAAGAATGAAAGGGGTGTGGGAAAAGTTGAAGAGAGGGCAAAGAAGGAGAAGGAGGGGTGGGGAAGCCGAGAGGGGCTCTGCCAGGCAGGCGGGAGCCTGTCCCCAGCACTGCCGTGGGTGAAGGGGGCACCGGGCTCCTAGCTGATGACCTGTGCACTCCCCCAGCAGAGGAGAGGAAGTTGTCTGATGGGAGCGGATTTCAGAGTCAAGGACAAGACTTCTGGGCAGCTTTCCAGCTCATTGCGGGGGGCAATGTGAGATAATCCACACAAGGCTTGTTGAATAACGCCTGGTAAGGATTAAACCCTCGGTAAGTGTTCCCAGCCAGTCAAGTGGCACCAGATCCTTCAGCTTTGTGGTTTTTCTCCAACAGTGATCAGCACCCGGGACATTAGGCACACGACACTTGGCAGATGCGTTGCTTCTGAGGGGGTTTTGTCAAGAAGTGAGACGGAAGCGTAAGGAATTGTGGAAGTTGGCGAGTGTGACAGAAATATTTTTCTGAGGAACCTGAAGTCTATTAAAAGATCCAAACCAACCCAAGGTGAGCGGTGGCTGCTGGATAATAAAACAGTAGATGGGCCAGGAGGGTGGACTGTGTGCAGACATCGCTGCAGAGGGAGGGATGGCTGGGAGGGACTGGGAGACGAAGCCTGGGGGACAGCATGTGTCTGGAGCTTGGACTTAGGTGTACAGCGGTGATGCTGATGTGGGTCTTGGACATGCACTGGAGGAAATGCGCCTGGAGTAGGCTGACAGAAGGATGAAGCACCCAAGGTGCTAGATGCTGGGTCACCAGGAGGATGTCAGGGTGTGGAAGAGAGCAGTGCTTGAGGCCTCACTAGAGGAACAGATTTAATATACAGTGTGCATGATCATAGGGAAGACTCACTAGGTCAGCTCACAGGTTGGAGATGGACCAAGAGTCCTCATGGTCACCTGCCAGGTCAGGGAGGGAGAATCCAGAGTGGCCATCTGTATGCTGGAGAGCAGAGGAGCCAGTCCGGGGTCGGAGGTCTGGAGCTCACTGCAGTCTGTGTGAGTCCCTGTAGTGGACTGACAACTGGCGGTCAACTTGTAAAACCCAGCTGAACTGAGTAAGCGTGGTGCTGGGTGTGGGACGCGCACCTGAGGATTGTTGCCAGCAGCATATGAGCCAGAACTGGAGAAGAAGAAAGGCTTTTGGGAACTAAAGAGGCTGTGGGGAGCAGAGAAAGGCTGTTGGGAGCTGGTAGAAGCTGTAAGGAGCTGTTGGTTCTGTTGGAGGAGCTTGTCATGCTGGCTTTCCTGATGAACTTGGCTGTTTTCATCTTCTGAGGAGCTTGGGACCTTGTTGGCACTGAGAATAGCTCTGGTTCACTTTGGGAGAGCTTTAGTCCTCACTTTGAGCATCACTTCCTGGCTCCGGAGGGGAAGATGGTGCATTGCCAGTCTCCTGGAGAAACTTGCTGCATTGGCTTTCCTGATGGAACTCAGCTGTCTTCACCACTGGCGGAGCTTGGGACCTCACGGTTGCTGAAGATGGCTGTGGTACTCTTCAGGGGAGCTCTGGTTCTTACTTTGCGTGTCGCTTCCTGGCTCCAGTGCAGTTCCCTCAGCCTGCTAGCCAGATATTTCATTCTGCTGGCACAGATGTCCTAGATTCCACCACTGACCTTTGGGTCTTCCCAGCACAGATCCATGAAACAGACCTGCATGAGATATTGTTATGGGCTCTAGGCCTCCAGTTGGACTTGTGGGAGGCACTGTTATGAGCTTTAGGTCTTCAGCTGGATTCATGCAGGACATTTCTCTGGGATCCAGGCCCTCGGCTAGTTTCCTTGGTCTTAGTGTGTGGATAGATTTCATGTACTCTTTTGTATATCATTCTTTGGGTGACTATTATAAATAATTTTATAAAATATGTGTCCCGTATTATACTGTTCCCCTTGCAAAATATTCCCCAAACCATGACAGCCCCTAACTGAAAGCCCAAAGCTCTGTGCTAAAAGCCTGGAGGAACTGGAGTCAAACATTCCAAGGCCCTGGTGAAGACTGGGTCTCCTCTGAAGAAGCATAAAGGGCAAACTCCCTCTTTCCCCTTTATCCTATGCAGGCTCCAAGCCTGTTGGTTGGTGTCACTCACTGCTGTGCGTTCCTTTCTTTCTTCCTCCAGGTCTGCACAGGGGGATCTTGAGGTCCTTGTTCCTTTGCTCATAGGTTGCTGTCACACCTACCCAAACTCACACTCCGCCCTGTGTGTGAGGCTTGTGTTGACTGGAGCTTGGTGCCACGGTGCAGCTGCTGTTTAAATAACAAGTGGTTCCCGGCTGCAGAAGGCTCTGCTGGAACCCCTGTGACGCAGCTCTGACACCCCATGCAGAAGCCTGTTCCACAGAGCCTGGGCTGGGACAGGGTGGTCTGTGTGTAGCCTGGACCTGCTGCAGATCCTCTCTTGCTCTGGAGTTGGCAGCTTGCTGAATCATCTGGCAAATGGGTCCATCAGCACTGCTGGGCATCTATGCAGCATCTGAACTCACAGCGTCTGGCAAAGCTGTGTGCTGCCTTTGAGGCGGGAAGTGTGCAGTCCAAACCACTCATCCATCACCCAGGAAGAAGTGTCATGCATGTCCCAGATGCAGGACCTCTGGGAACACCACAGAGGGCAAAGCCTCTGTGGGCTTCTTCCCTCTGTCCTCCCCTCTGGCTCACAGGTGTCCTGACTGTAAGACGGATATGCGCATGCATTCAAGCCAGCACACATGTGGCCCATCATTCTCCCCTCCTTTTTTGAGTGGAAAGGAGTTGTTTCTGGAAGCATATAAATATATATAACATAGCTTATACATGTAATAAAACTTCCTTTATTTCAAAATGTTTCTATAACATTAACAAGCAGGGAAAAAAGCAAGTCAGAGTCAGACATGCCTAAGTCAGTTCGGGTTCTCAAGGAAACCAAGGCCATGACTGCCCTGTTCCTCACACTTAAAATGAGGTCGAGTGCACTGACACACAGGAAGCTGTTGGTATGCTGCGGAGCTTGCTCTGCTATCCAGTGATTGCCAGGCCTGCCTGTTGGAGAGGTCACACTGCCCCCTTTGTCGGGGACTGTGCAGGCTGAGAGGGAGTACTTTAGGGCTGCCCCACGGAAGGCTCAGGACCACAGCATCCGGAGGGGCTTGAGAATCCAGCACCCGAGGCCCAGGCCACCAGTCCTCAGCCCCCGCTTGCTGTTCCTGGGAGCTGGGGCTGGAAGGATTGCACTTTCCCGAGGTCTCTCCAGAGAAAGGAGGCTTGGGGGCTGAGAGCCAGGCAGGGACTTGGGAGTGATGAGAGGGTGGGTGTTGAGACAGGCTGGTGGGAGCGGCTCAGGAAGAGGATCAGGGCCATTCTGAGGGTGTGACCTTGGGAATGAGGCCACCGCACCATGTGTATTTTGTCATAGGACCACTGCTCCCTAATGCTGGCTCCTAGGAATGACAGTGCGTGGGTGTCCAAGCCCCTGCCCAGGCTCTAGCAGGAAGTGACCATACTCAGGCACATGGTGGGACATGAGCAAGTGTGACTTTTGGGTGCTGAGTTTCATTTTTGCTTGTCCCCTGGCTGAGAATGCTGCAATCCCAGGACTGGAGTCATATATATCAAAGAGAAAAATTTGATCTTTGTAGTTTATTGAGAGGAACAGTCAATGCTTAAAATTTTCTTTTTTCTTGACCAGTTTCACACACTTGAATTTGGTAATTAGAACCAGAAAAAAAAAAGAAACCAAAAAAACAAACAAACAAAGTTGGGGCTGGGGATTTAGCTCAGTGGCACAGGGCCTGCCTGGCAAGCGTGAGGTTGTGAGTTCGATTCCCGGTAATGGAAAAAAAAAGAGAAATCAAAAAGAAGAATTTAGTAATTAGAATGACTGATCTGACAACAATATGCAGTATAAGAACCATTGTTGAACTCCTACCATTTTGTATGGTGAAGCTCTGCATCATTTCCAATTTTAAATTTTTTTTTTTTTTTTTACTTGTTACTGTCTTTAGATTGTTTGATCAATCTTACATTTTTATGTCTAATGGACTGAGCAATTTTGTTAAAGATAACAGTATGTAATATAGCAACCATTGTAAATTTCTATCATTTTTTCTTGAGGTCCTATATCATTTTTGCTGTTTTTGTGTTGTTTTGATTTTGTCTTCATTGTTTTGTCAGTTTTTTAATTTTTAAAATAAAAAAATTAAAAATTAGAAAACATCAACTACTAAAGAAACTAGGATGATGTGGGGCATGAGCGCCCATGGGACACCACTCTGGGACCAAGATAGGACATCAGCAAAGGAGGCCGCCAGTCACAGGCCACCTGCTCCCTGCGCGTGCTGGGCACCGTGGCTTCCAGCTGACATCAACAGACAGGAATCTGATGCAGAGGTCCTTACAAGTGCTTGCCACTCTGCAACTCAGGGTAGACTTCTACCCATTTTTCACTAAAGTAATGGAGGGGTTATTGGAGAGAATAGTAAAGTTAAAATAGTGAGGAAGAATAAATGTAAAAGATTCAGAACAAATTTGATGTTGTATTATTGCCTTTTTCCATTGACTGCAATTCTAAATACTAATTCTCTTCTAAGTTTCTTGGGCTTTCCCCAGGCCCCCTTGCTTGCTTTTGACCATGGAGATGTTGCTGCCTCTCTAAGCCTCTGTCTTCAATTGTAAAGGAGGCTAAACAATAGCACGAATTTTACAGAAAAAATTGTAAGAATTCAATGAAATAAATGATACATTGAAGTGCATGTTAGCAGAGAACCTGGCATTAGGAACACAGTTGATACCTGATGCTTGCTGGCGTCTTTATTCAGGCAGCTGTACTGAAGTGACGATATAAACATACCGTGTGACTAGTGGCCCTGAGTCCTTGGCCACTCTGCTCCTGCCCTCCCTTTGAACCCAGTTGGGGCTGTTGCCACTTTCTAGGGCCACCATAGATTTGGGTGTGAGGTGCTCTGGGAGAGACAAGCGTACTGCCCCAGGTTGGCCTCAGCACAGCGGAGCTGTTGTGTTCCTGCAGAGCCACGGAGCAGAGCCGCTGCCCCCTCCTAGAACGCGCAGCACACTCGGGTCATTGCAACGTGACAAAGTTCAGCAGCATTGTTGGAAACACCATCATAAATCAGTAACAGCTCTCTTTAGGGACTGCATTGCCACTTGATTTAGTGCTTCCTGGCACCTTGCCTATCGAGGAATGAAGCCACGATTGCTTCCTACATAAAATGTTATCTGCAAACGTCTCACAGAAACCCACAGGAGGCTGGGCGGCTGCCGGCGTGACCATCTGTGGCCGGCCTTGGTATTGAGAGTGAACCAGACAATGGGACCCATTGTCATTTTGGACAATGTATTCCATGAACAGCTTCTACATGAAAATGGGGTTCAGACAGCATTCTACAAACTTCCAAAGGAAGGAAAAATGTATTCTTTTAAGCAGGAGGAAGAAAACTCAGCAAAATGTACAGTGTGAAATATGAGAAGCTGTCCTAAGCCAGGGTCAGGCTGTAGGTTCCAGTACTCTACAGACAGGAAGGGTGAGTGTGCTGAGGGTTGGGAGGTGATGGTCTCTCAGTGCGACGCAGGGCCTTTCCTGCAGGTGAGTGCTATAGGATGGAGGGAGAGAGATCTTCACAAGGTTTGCTCTGGAGGTGCCATGGCCAGGACAGCTCCCCTCGAGCTGTGGAGATGGATTTTAGCTTCACAAACCAGCAGTCATGCTAACCCAGTGGATACTCGTTATGGCTACTAGGCTAGGCCAGGGACAGGAATGACCCTTGTCAGCATCCTGGGAAGAGAAGGATGTTGCTCCAGGAAATTCCTAATGCCTCCTGGACAGAGGAGAAGCCAAAGCAGAGACACAGAGCCCTGTGGGCCACTGAGGCAGGCTGCTGGATCAGCACAAGAGAGGCAAGAAAGCCAAGCCCACCCACTCTCCCTCCCTCCCTGGGCTTGGGCAGCCCCAGCTGGGTCCTTGTGGTGGCTGCCTCTGGAAGCTTTGCAGGCAGAGGAACCACCAGGCACAGGGGAAGATGGGGCAGTTCAAGAGAAGGGGTCACGAAGGAATGCAGCAAGTGTTCTCCTAGGCACACAGTTTCTAGGAGACAGGGAATTTGGAGGACACTTCAGACATGCATTCCTAACCAGCTCCAAAGGACACATCTCAGAAATGTGGGACTGGGAAGACTGTAGACGGATTTTATTTATTTTATTTTATTTTATTTTATTTTATTTTTTTGGTACCGGGAATTGAACTCAGAACCTTGTGCTTGCCAGGCAGGCACTTGTGCCACTGAGCTATATCTCTGGGTCTGTAGAGGGATTTTAGAGGAGGTAAAGAGAAAAATGGAACTTTCAGAAGCAGGCTGGGTGGTGCCAAAGTCAATTGTGACACCGCAGAGCTCAGGATAAGTTAACAGATAAAAAATACAAGAAAGATGTGGCTAGTAGATACATCTACTTCACAAATACTAGGAATTTCAGGAAAAGAACTGCCCAAAATGGAGTTATTATTAAATAACTTTTCTGAGGAAAAGTTCCTGAGCTAAAGAAAGACTTGGTTTTCTGAATAACAGATAAAATTAGTGGAAGGTTTTTAATATGTAGACTTATCCTTCAAGTTGCTTTAATTTCCAGTTTAAATGCAAATTCAGTGAGGACCAAGGAGAAGAAGCCAGGCTCCAGCTCCACCTGGGAAACGGAAAGGAGAGAGCAATGGGAGATGCATGAGCTCTCACACAGGAGGTGGCTTCTGGTTGCACCCGGTTCTTACCCTCGCATCTAAATCTAGATCTGAGCCTGGAAGCTGCGTCTGCCCTGTGGCTCCACACTTGTCCTGTGGGTGCCAGTCCCTGGGGCAGCACTGCAGCCTCCTGTGCCCCAAGTCTGGTGTGCACGCTCCAGTGCAGGTCTGGAAAATATCAATTTCCTTCTTCATGTTAAGCCATTTGAGAGAGAAGTCAAAATATCACATTTAAGACCAATGAATTCATGATATAAAAATAAACAACTCCCTCCCTGAAAAACAAACACAGCTTATAAAGCAAAATACATATAACTGTCAATATGGTATTAAAACATAATGAAAATGCCAAAATTAACTTTTGAAAGAGGGCACATGGTTAAAAATGTTCATTTACTAATAATGAGCTAGTTACAGTTACTCCCTAGCATCACAGCAAATTGGGAATTAGATGGCCAGGGGACAGGAAGCACAGCAGAGTGTATTCCTCATACTGCACAGAGAATGATCCATCAATGTTGCTTTATTTTTGATAATAAAAATGAGAAAAAATAGATTTGAATGCCTATTTACTAAATGCTACTGTGCATAGGACAAAAAGAGTATGCAAGGCTTCTAAAATCATGAAAGAAAGGTTGGGTTAAAAAATCTCAATATAGAAATGTCTGTTAAGAAACAATCATTAGATGTAAGGGTGATCTGACTGTGACATCTGTCACCACACTGATAGTCAGTGTTCATTCAGCTGATCTGGCTGGCTAGGTGGGTGTCCCCTTCCTCCCTCAAGCTCTGTGTGCGTCCCTCCCGTAGCTGTGTGCTCGGTGGAAGAGGACGACCACCCCTGATAGTGGAGGACTGTTCCTCTGTCAAGGGTACACGAGTAGCTGCGCTCCCCTGCTAGAACCTCCAAACAAGCTCTCAAGAAAGAACCAGAAGGAAAAATAGCAGAAATCAAGCATATCCGTTGTGTTAACAAAATGAGTGGGATAAATTTTCATTTTTTCAATTTTTAAAAAAAAATTTATTTTGAAGAAAATAG